ACTACGTACTTGCAGTGGTCTCAAATATAGCAAGAAACCTGTGATCAACACTGTCGCCTGAATTAATCCATTGTGAAAAGCCATACCTTGAACCCAAAAATCCACACTAATTGTAACCCTGAATGTCCGGTATATGGAGTCAATGGTAAGCATGAAGTTATGATCTGTCATGTATACAGATTGGATTAATGTTTTATCCTTTTCTCAGCCCAATTGTTAGAGGACTTCCCCTTTTAACCATTTGGCAACCGCCCGCGTTGCTCGACACAATATTGCTGTCCAATACAAACATGCCGCCCGATTCAAACGAGCTGCCCAATCCAAGCGCAAGAGGCACAAGCCTTTGATACTGATTCTATTATCAACTCACACAAGACTTCAGAAGAAAAAAACAGGGAAGGCCACCACATCTCGAGACTGAACAAGGTCAAACAATCACGCAAGTCATGGTCATTGAAGGGCTTATGTCTACCTCAAACCCCTGACTGTTTGTTGTTAACTTACGTAGGCATGTTGGACAGCATGCGGAGAATGCTCTGAGTAATTGCATATGTTTTCTTGGTTGGCACCTGGTCGAAAAGCTCCTTTTCCCTACAACTGGACAACGCCGGTGCAAAATTAGAATACATGTGCACTCTCACATGTTCACTTTTGTTCCGTCCTACTACTCATCATCCAACTCAGAGCAAAGGAAGAGTTCTGCCTGACCGCTCTGCAAAAATGCTTATGTCTAGTGTTTGTTTTTTGAATCTTATGTGTTTGGAGAAGAGTTTTTTGAATCCTATGTGTTTGAAGAATATGTTAGATGGCTGGACCATGGTGATTGTTGAATTTCATCCTTCTTTGTTTGCTTGAGGTTTACCCATTCTGTAATTGAGCCTTGAAGCCTCAAAAAAATCAAGGCATAAAAAGTGTGTACATATCCATCTGAGAATGCTGGAATCTGTTGAGATCTTCCCTGCGCAAATCTTGGAGCAGTGACAGAACCGCAGGGAGAGTTGTAGTGTTTCCATGGATGACAGGCCCACACGCTTCTGAAGCCTTGGCACTCCTTGGCGCCTTCCAAGGCTTGAGGTCGGCAGGATCAAAGAAGCTGTGGCTTCAGAATAGGAGCAAAGAAGCCGTGGCTTCAGAATACAAGGGAGCAGGAGCTGGAGGTGAGAGCTACATAGTCCAGCTCTCTCTTTCCTCCTTGCCTTGTTCCTCCCTCCACTTCCCCCTCTCCTTCCTCTATTTGCATCAAGCAGATGCGCTCCGCCTCTCCTTATAACTTTTCCCCCGCTTGTGAAAAATTTTCGGAACCTCCCACCCGCCCTGGAAAAGCGCAAGCACAAGACGCACGCTCACGTGTGGGTCTGGCGGTTTCCCACACCCCTATGGGGCGTCTTGTTTGCTCAGGGGAGAACGGCCTCCGCTCCCATACAACTGTCAGTACCCTCCTCTCCTTGCCTTCCTTCCGGATGGCTTGAGTTCTGGAGGGCGCCGGCAAGACTGGTGAGAAATGGCTCAAAGACTTACGTCTACGGGACGTCGGGCCTTCTTCCCCCTGACCCACACACGGTGTGGTGGCAAGAGAGCGCCTTGACTAAAGCTTTGGCCGGTTTGTTTGGGTGCATGCGGAATGCTCGCGGCTGATGCAGAAAGCTTGCGGAGCTGACGCTACACACGCAAGCTGAGGAAAGCGGCGGTGCATTGGTAGAAAGTCTAGCTTTCCAAGGCGCAGGAAAGCGGGGAAAAGTAGGCCGAATGCGCAAGGTTCCGAAAAGCTTGCTGCAGGGAATCCAGGCACTGGCGGACTTTGGGGTTCACGGCTGACTGCAGAATGGGGTTTCAGCGTATACTGCGGAGGGGCTACAAGGAGCGGGGGGCACCGAGGGGCGGAAGCGGGGTTCGGAGAGAGCCAGAGGCGGAAGCGGCAGTGGGAGACCTGTCCAAGAGCGGCCGGAGGAGTACCTGGACCAACAGGCTTCGGAGGGGTGACGAGCGGAGTCCGAGGGAGTGACAGCGGAGGACATTGTGGGAGGCAGGAGGAAACTTGAGTGTGAGATAACTGGGAAGAGTGAAGTTTGAAGTAGAGGGGAAAAGAGGGGGGAACTTATGACTCAGAACATATCAGAAAAACGGAGTGACTTAGAAGTGAATCGTGTATTAGCCTAAAGAATTGTTAGAGATAGGGAGAGTTAAATCATTACTTACAAAAACACAGAAAAGAAGAGTTATTTTACCTAACTACAAGCCCATCAAGCAAGTTATCCTGGACAAAAAATTGGATTAAGACGTGTTGCGGAGCGGAGAAGTGCAAGAAATCTCCTAGGGCACGCCTTACTTTCCACAACGGCAGTCTTGGGAGCTCCCCCTTTTGGGGTTTCTCCGGGACTGCCTAGGCACCTGATACAAGGTGCCCAAACCGTAAGCAAACGAGAGAACTAAGGCCCGCTTTGCGCACTCTAGTTAGAGGCGCTCATGCTCCCGGTTCCCTAGCGCTGTCCTGAATGGATGTTCATGGCAGATTGTTGAATAATGGATAACAAGGTGTAGGTGGACAAACAACACAAAAAAGGTTGTTTAGACCAAATGTTTTTCAATTAACATATCATAGCAATCAAACAGGTATTTGGCACTTGATGAAATTATCTGTCATCCAAGCCGGCTAACAAACTACTGAATTTTGCAGTACGTACAACCCCTGCTCACTTGCAGCCTTGAAGTTGAACTGTTTTGCAGAAGTCCCCCAATCCCATGCTGTGAGCGGCACCACATTGCGTCAGCCGTAGTAGGGCACAGATCCTACCGGAACCTATGGGGCTGGCCTCCGGGCCTTGACAGATTTAAGTTAGGCGTCATTGACAGCTGTCAGTGCAGTGATGGTACAAACATACATGTTCCACTAAAAAGTCAAATCGGAAACACTAATGGGGTACATAATAATGTATCCCCCTTAATCAGATTGTACTCTGGTATTACATCTGGGTAAAAGATTGGGAATATCATTTGGAGTGAGGTGTACATAAGGGTGACTGTGCTTTCAGAAATGATAGTCCTGATTGCTATTTCTGTTTTGGAGTAGGTAATTATGGAAAGGACAGGTAATCAGGAGGTGTGATCCAGGTGGGGATCTACATCTCAGTATGTGAAATGTTTTGTCAGAGCTTTTAGGCCTAGGGCAGGAACTGTTTTCTAAGAGCTGAATGGAATGCCCTGTGTAGAAGCGGAAAGGCTGTCATCACTTTTTGAGGAGCTGTCCCACTTTT